CGGAAGAGATTTCGATGAATGGTCACCATTAAGATGGTATTTGAGCAGATGTTTTTGAATCCATTTCCTTGCAATAAATTCACTCACATGTTTAGGTAGCTGTTTGGTTCAACATTGCACCTTTTTAAAGGTGTCAGAGGGTCTCCTTAAGCTTTTAGGCTCGCGTTTGTCGAACATCCCAGTGACTTATCGAATAGTAGATGTAAACAGTACATATTTTCTTTAAAAATGAATTTAGAAAAAACTTCAACACATTCTACAACAAACTAGGACCTTCGATGCTTAGTTCATGTACTATTTCTTCGTCTGTGCATTTCAATCGTGGCGGAGACTAATGACGGGGAGATGAGGTCACTCTGAACCGACTCGGAATTATTGCTGCTAATTTTCTCGGACATACAGTTGTATTTGCGTCTTAGAAATCGCCGCGGTCAGGAGTCCATTATGGGCTCATGCATGCTTCGGGGTATTTCCCCTTTTGTTTTCCCTTAAACATCTAATGATTCTTTTCTTAAGACGCTCTCTCTAAATATATCTTTTACAGGGGGTATAACTGGGATAATTTTCTTTCGCAATATTCTCATTGACTTGGTGGGCATCAGGATCCCAAGTGCGTCACGAACTGTGGTGCTTAAAAAAAAAAAAAAAATAATAATAATAATAATAATAATAATAATTGGCGTATTGATCTTGCTTGTAATTACGGTTAATAGTGAAAGGTAAGAATACTGCAGTTTGCGTCTTTAAAGCGTGAATAGGGTTAAGGTCATTTCCTTTAATAAAAGAAACGATATTTATAATTAGGCCTACAAGAAAAGCCTCATTTGGTCGCTTTCCCGGAAACAAAAAGTGAAATCCGGTCCCTCGTAGACCGGATCTGTGTCTTAATGACATGGAACGCGCTTTCTTTCTTTCTCTCCTAATTCCACACGGATTTAAATCTTCAGTGTCCTTCAGTTACTGGCAATATTATACTGAATACGTCGTCAAAGTTTGCGTGGCGAGCCAGAGGGAATTGGGGAAGCTTTGTGCACAATTTTGGCCTTTAATATCCGTATAGTGACCCGATATAACTGGTGAAAAATCACAAGCCATAGCTTTAGAGGCGATACCACACGCCCTGTCTATTTCTCATTTTGTGTTTAAAGTTATACACCATGAATTTCTGTGCCTAAATAATGAATGGCCCACAAAGTCAAAACCGAACGGATGTTATGTTTTAATTTTTTGGCATTGTCATCGATCCGCCTTACCTGTTCCGAGTTCACGGTGAATCGTCAAAGAGGGGTCAAGATTCCAATGAGTGGGCGAGCTGCATCTCATCCTGTAGACTATCATTTTCGTTTTTGTAAAAATGACGTGTAATTGTTTTTATAAAGATTCCTGAATTACTCTTGCTATGATACCAAGGTAGCAGTGCTTTTGAACTCGGCTCTATTTAGCCCGATAATATATCCAAAGAAAGAATTTGCTTTGTTCTTACGATAAACTGGCGAAATTCTCTCTTGGTCTGGTAAGAAAATGGCTTTCGCAGTTCCATGTACTTTGTTCCTCTAGTAATAGTAAAAGAAACTTGAGCATGTTTATTGGAAACCCATCACGATGCCATGCACCTATCATTTGATCAGCTTCCGACGCAAACTTAAAGTGTGCGTAGGATCATGTCTTATGGACAGTGTATTGTTATTTTTCGTCCCAAATTCTTAGAAAGTGATGGCATATTCTGTCTACAGTTCCCCTCCTTGTGCAACAAAAAAAAAAAGAATGAAAAATATCGGGAAAACGACCTTGGAGACTTCCAGAGGTTGCCATGATCAGTTAGAGAGTTATAAACCCCAATAGACCACAAAACAGAGTGCTACTCTACCCATGATTTACCAGTGACATATATAATAGCCTACATGTACAGTGTATCGGTTTTGTAACTTGTTTATTTAAGGTTAGTGACACAAATGTCTGTTTACATCCAGTAAGCTTGATACTGTGCTTTGTTGAACTTTGGGGTATTTTTCCCTATTCCCAGAAGCGAAAGAAACATTCTGATTGGCCAACTTTATCTGGTGCATCTAATACCTTTGCACAACAGTAGCTGAGGAGCTCACTCTACCTTAGACATCGATCGGCGACGGTAAAAGCAAGTAGTGCTCTTGTACACATCATTTGTCGATATGTTCTCGTGCAAATTTGTTCTCGGAGGGATTTTGATGGCTGCAATAGGTGACTTCCTAGCCTTTAAGTTGTACCCGGAGGGAGGCTCCAGATTTCGCTGGACATTCCATCAGATGAAAGGTAACTTGATGAAATTCCAAAATTTCACTCACAAACTCGCGGATATGTTTTGCAACGATCCTGAACAATGCAAGAATGCTACCGATGAATTTTTCATGATCGCTGCCAGTCTCCCCCAGGACGTTGTGTTGCAGTTGGCAGACTTAATGAGCAAGTTTGGTGAATCGTCCAAACAACAGGAAGGCGGAGAGGTTAATCGGAAGCACACTGAAGCCAAGAGAGCGGCTGTCAGCTATTCAAACGGAGAAGTTCAATTCCAAGGCGATCCAAAGAAAGGAGAAACCGTCATAAAGTCGCTGAAGTTTTCAGGTTACGATGAAAATAACCTTTGTGACCTCATGGAGGGGATACCCCCGGAGGAATATGATGTAACAGTCGACGAAATAGCGGAATTGACCAACATGCCGGAAAAACTCAAAAAAGTTATCAAAAGAGCTAAGAACTTTTCTGGTGGAAAAGTGCAGGCGGTTAGAAGGTTGCAATTCAAAACGGAAGATGGAAACTTGGTTTTTGGCCGAGTGGCTGTTATTCGCAGGGGCAAGCTGCTTGATATGGCTTACTCGCTTCACTCTGTGGCGTATGAACTCGCGCCGCGCCAACGCAGACCTGAAAACGCTCAGAAGTTGGAACAGTTTTCCGAAAGCCTTGAGGACGGCGAGGGCGGCCGGAAGGAGTTCCAGGAAATTTCAGTTGAGCTAAGAGACGATTTTTTGGCGTTCTTCCATAAACAGGCTATCGAGGGGTTTGTTAAGCATTGCGACTTCGTGCTAAAGGCACTGAACGACGACAACAAAGATGCTGAAATTCTTCAACATATTGGTGTTAGCAAAGATGGAAAAGCTGTGGAAGAGGACAAGATAACTAGGGACTGACGGCTGGGAAAAAATTATCAGAGTTGTTTAGGTGTCGTTGGTTCGACACTGCATGGTAGTCTTTTTATTTAGACCCAATATTTCTTCCATGGGAAGAAAAACGTATGTCAGTGATACTAACCGTAGATCGAAGGATTGTGCAAAAGTTATAACTTTAAGCACCTTAGATAGTGATTTGAAGTAAATTAGATGCCTATATTGATCATTTGACCAGGATGACTAGTACATCGTTAACCATGTGAGTCTCTTTTTCTCGGAAATGGTATAGGGGCTGGTCACGCTTGATGTTTCCCTAGCGAAGAAATGGATAAAAATGGTTACCCTCTGTCCACAGTTCAGAACAGACTGTAGGCAATCAAGTGAAGTTTTGTTCATTAGACTATAATTAATTTCTACATTTCAGTAAAACTTGAAAGGTGTACTTACAGTACATTGCATGACACTGGTTGTTTTCTTTATTGATAATTTTTTTTTTCCTTTATTAATCGGGGCGGGTTTCACATTGCAGTATTTTGTGGTAGCTCCCGTTTTCAGATTGTGCGTTACTTGAGTAGCTTTCCTTTCGCAGAATGCCATTATTACCTTATTTGGTCGAAAGGTGATGTGTAAAATGGATCAGTATGATACCTATTCTTTTAAACAGTGATTTTTCGACAGCATTTTTGTATTTGTGTGTCTGTCGATGTCGCGAGGACAACCGCATCTTGCTCTCTTCTTTTTGGTTACCGACAATAATTCTATTATTTTTGTTGATAGTTTTTTCGTTTACTATTACCGGGTTAGGTAATCATGATTTTGTCTTGCTACTTTACGGAACGCAAAAGCAAAATAACACAACACTCAGGCTTCCTGAAAATATGTTTTTGATCGGTTTATCGGTTTATCCATTAAGCACGCCCGGTTGTATTTACTGAAAATGGAATCAAGAACGAAAATCCTAAAACAAAAAGAATTCCCTAAATGCATGCTGATGAAGTCGTTTCTTAGTGTCGTTAGCAAATGAATGATAATACGTAAAATGCTCCAGTAAAGTTATGAAGTAATATCAAACATGAGGAGACGCTGTGTTTCATCACCAGATGAAATACCGAGAAAGGAGTTGAAAATACGACGCGCAGCGGAGTATGTTTAACGAACTTCAAGGTGTTTCATCGGGCGATGACACACTGTGTCGATGCTTGATATTACTTCTCAAATAAAACGATTTTTTTACCAGAAGAAATAAAGGATGCAAAAATTAGCAGTTTTTCATCTAATTCTAAACACTTATCAAACGTTAATTTCCTTTGTTTTTTCTTTATGAATTATTGATGAGTTTGAGAAGAAGATATCAAACAAACTTCATCAAGGAGCCGGCAGGAATTGCATTAAAACTTGAAAAGATTCGCCCCAACTTTTTCAAGTTTCAGTCCATGTCAATCCTTGTCATCTGTTGAACAAAGGACAAAAAACAGTTTCAGTGCCTAAATATACCGGTAGTCTTAAATAACAAAACTAGACTATAAATTTTGACATTCAATTTATGCGAGAAACGTTTTAGCTTTTTCAGGGGCACCCAACGAGAATGTAGGTCAAAACCACTTAAATAAAGCATTGTTGAACGTATTTTAGTATTTAAACGGTAGATATAGGCATATTTTTATCCCCTAAAATTTTTTCATCTGTTCGGATTTCCTAGCTGAAAGTCTAGTGATCCAATGACCACCCATAACTTGCATTATCGTCTTTAAGATACAAAGTTCGTCATTTTCCTTTGTCCCGAATAAACCAACTCGACGAAAATGGATGTCCCACTTTCAATCTTTGCACTCGAATGAACCCCTTAATGAACAGCAGGAGGCAATTATAGATGAGTTGCAGAATTCAAAGGATATTACGACACGATCTCACTCCTTGGATTACCTCATCACTGAAAGTGAAATTCGCACTGCAGCTGGAAAACTCAAAAACAACAAATCTTCTTTTTCAGACAAAATCAAAAACGAAATGATCAAATCTAGCCTAAACGAATTAATGCCTGTTTATCTAAAACTATTTAACACGGTCCTCGACTTAGGAACTATGCCCCAAATGTGGTGTGATGGCCTCATTACACCAATTTTTAAATGTGGTACTAAAAGCGATCCATCAAACTACCGTGGAATTTGTATTTCCAGTTGTATTGGAAAACTATTTTGTTCAATTCTCAATCAGAGACTTCTAAAGCACGTTGACTTAAATAATATACTTCACAAGTCTCAAATTGGTTTTCTAGCAAATAATAGAACAGCAGATCATGTCCTCACACTTCGAACATTAATAGACAAATATGTCCATTGTCACAAGGAGAAAATATATGCGTGTTTTGTTGACTTTAGGAAAGCCTTTGATTCGGTTTGGCATGATGGGCTTCTCTATAAGTTATCTAAGATCAATGTCCAAGGAGGACAACCGCATCTTGCTCTCTTCTTTTTGGTTACCGACAATAATTTTATATTTTTGTTGATATTTTTTCGTTTACCATTACCAAGTTACGTAATCATGATTTTGTCTTGCTTCTTTTCGGAACGCAAAAGCAAAATAACACAACACTCAGGCTTCTTGAAAATATCTTTTTGACCCTCTTTAACCACTCTGGTTTAAACAGTAAATGTTTATTTCCAGGTTTTATTCATTGAAAAGGCAATCAAGAAGGAAAATCCTAAAAAAAATAATCCTCTAGATATACGCTGATTTAAAATTGCTACGTCACAACGATATTGCTGTTTTAGGTCAACTCTGGGCTGAAGTCATTTTTTAGTGTCATTAGCAATATTCTTGATACATAAAATGCTCCAGTGGAGTTACGGAGAGATGTATAAAGCATGAGAAACACAGTGTCAAATGCTTGATATTACTTCTCAAACAAAATGATTTGACCAGGAGAAATTAAAGATGCAGTTATGAGCAGTTCCTCACCTAATTTCCAAACACTAATAAAACATTTGTATTTTCTTTATGGATTATTGAGGAGTTCGAGATATCAAACAAATTATCAAAACAAATTTCACAAGGGAGACAGGAATTGCTGCATTAAAACTTGAAAGTTTTTAAGTTTCAATCCATGCCAATCCTAGCCATCTGTTGCATCAGAGGACAGGAAACAGTTTCCATGCTTAAATATAGTCTTAAATAACAAAACTAGACTATTATTTTTGACATTCAATTGATGCGAGAAAAGTTTTAGCTTTAAAAAAACATAGAAAAAAAATACATTTGAACAAGACACACAAACGAAAAAAACTTCTGCAACGCGAGACGTTTTCTTCTTGCCTGGCAATTTTTTAAGCGAAAAACAAAACAATAATTATGTATGAAATGAGATAGGAAATCTATTTAATTCCCAGTTAACAAAACTTTGTGATCTTGATCTTCGATCTTCGACGAATCCTAAATTCCAAGTAATTTTTTTAAACATCAAGAGAAAAAAAAATAAACTGATTGAATTTACAGTTTAAAAGGTTCGGTTTTAAATACCTCTCCCTTAACCAATCTTAGTGATGTCCATCGCTCAAAAGTCGTCAATTATCTTACATATTTCTCTCTGCCAATAATTACGAATATGCCAAAAACTGTTTTCTCTGTTTCCCGTGTCACTTTTTATAGTTAAAGAAATCTTATCATTCTGAAAACATGTGCTCTATGCCCTCGATTTGTCCCGAAAGTGTAACCTTCAACATGAGGGGTAACGTTTTGCGTTGAATGGTGTGTGTGTGTTTTTTTTTTAATTGAAATAGCCATTTTGATTTGAACGGTATGATGAATATGTAATACGTGTAATGCGGCAGGCGAAGTAATTAATTTTTGAACCCTGCTGCGTTTGTTAAGTAAATGAACATTAACTCACGATCTTTAACTATTAAATAATCGCATTTTAACAGCTACGATTAACTTGTACGTGCTTCTTTGACGCAATAACTGAAAATTTATGCATTGCTAAAATGGCTTTTCGTTTCTAGAAATGGTTTTATCAAAGAACAAGATAACTAAACCAACACGCTTGCGTTTGAAGATAAGAGCTTTCGTTGTTGTTTTACCTTTTTATGAAAAAAATAATAGAAAAAAAATCTCTTTTTTCGTTCCAGCGACTTATTGGAGTGGCAAAGCTCGAGTGGGCAGGTGGAGTTCGAGAATGGGCAATTTTCCGTTTTAGAAAACATCGGTATTCTAGATTCTTCTTCTTATGCCCCGTCTTGAGCAGTAAAGGTAAAAAAATCTGTTTTCTTTTTAGCTTCCATTTTAACGATGAGTTGGCTGCGTAATATAAGACTTCCTTATTGTACTCCGGCATACGTTAGGGCCTGTGCATGGCAAAACGTCACCCTTACTTTAAAAGGTACGTTTACCACACGCTGAATTTCAGAATGACAGTAGCAGAAGTAAGTGCTACTAAAGACGAGCACGATAAACAAAACTTTTGTCAAAATGTAACAAAATTCAAACAGCGGGAACAGCCACCATAGACATGCACTTCCATGGTACCTGTTCCCCGGGGGAGGGGTACTCAGCAAATGCTTACATGGAGAGGCTCCGCCACGAGGTCCAAACCCTTACCTTTTATATACTATTTTTCACGAAAAAGGTACCCCTTTCACATATCTTGTTTAGAACTTTGCATTTCTTTTAACTGCTGTAAATGCACTGCCTTTAAAATAGGAATCAATCACAAAAATAGAACGTTTTCTCGACTTTATAAAGCCATAAAATTCATCTGTTAGCTCTTTTGGGCCCTTACACAGACCCAAATGACAGTTTTACCTACCCTTTTATATACTTCAGCTAGTGAAATCCCTACCTTTCATATACCTGAAGCCTGAAAAAGGTACTACCCCTTTCGGGCGGAGCCTACCCTTATAGGCCATCACTGGGAGTACCCCCCACCCCCCGTACCTGTTCAGAAGCTTTCATTTCAATGGTCACGCCTCATGGCTGATTCCATTTCCCGACCTTGGACTCAAAGCTAGAAACCCCTTCTACAGCGGTATAATAAACAGCAA